TATTTGGAGAAATGTCTGTTCAGATTCTCACCCATTTTTAAATCAGGTTTCTTGTTTTTTTGGTGTTGAGGCATATGAGTTCTTTATGTATTTTGGGTGTCAACCCCTTATCGGATGAATCATTTACAAATATATTCTCCAATATCATAGGTTGCCTTTTATTTCTGCTGATGGTATCCTTTGCTGTACAGAAACATTTTAGTTTGATGTAGTCACACTTGTTTATTTTTATTTTGTTTCCCTTGCCTGAGGAGTTGTTTCCCAGAAAAAAAAATTGCTCATGCTTATGTTCAAGATATTTTTGCCTGTTTTCTTCTAAGAGTTTTATGGCTTCATGTCTTCTATCCAGGTCTTTGATCCAATTTGAGTTTACTTTTGTGTATGGAGTTAGAGAGTAATCCAGTTTCATTCTCTTCCATGTAGCTGTCAAGTTTTCCCAACACTAGTTATTGAAGAGGCTGTATTTTACCATTGTACATTTTTGCCTCCTTTATTGTAAATTATTTGACCATACATGTGTGGGTTTATATCTAGGCTTTCTATTCTGTTCTATGGACCTATGGGTCTGTTCTTGTGCCAGTACTATACTATTTTGATTACTGTAGCTTTTTAGTATAGTTTGAAGTCATGGAGTGTAATACCCCAGCTTTGTTCTTCTTTCTCAAGATTGCTTTCGCTATTTGGGGTCTCTTGTGGTTCCATATAAGTTTAAGGTTTCTTTGCTCTAGTTCACTGAAAAGTACTGCTGATATTTTGACAGGGATTGCATTGAATCTGTAAATTGCCTTGGGCATGATGGCGATTTTGACATTAATTCTTGTTAACCATGAGCATGGGATACATTTCCATCTATTTGTGTCTTCTTCATTTTCTCCCATGAATGTCTTCTGGTTTTCAGAATATAGGTCTTTCATCTCCTTAGTTAGGTTTATTTCTAGGTATTTTATTCTTTTTGACACAATTGTAAATGGAATTGTTTTCTTTATTTCTCTTTCTTCTAGTTCATTGATAATATATAGGAATTCAAAAGATTTGTGTATTAATTTTGTATCCTGCAACTTTGCTGAATCCATTTATTTGTTCCAATAGTTTTTCAGTGGTGTTTTTAGGATTTTCTGTATACAGTATCACGTCATCTGTAATTAGTGACCATTTTACTTCTTCCTTACCATTTTGGATGTCTTTTTATCTCTTCATCTTGTCTGATTGCCATGGCTAGGACCTCCAGTATTATGTTTATGTTGAATAAAAGTGGTGAGAGTGGACATCTTTGTCTTTTTCTTGACCTTAGAAGAAAATCTTTCATCATTTTCCCATTAAGTATGATGTTAGCTGTGGGTTTCTCTTATATGACCTTTATTATATTGTATTACATACCCTCTATACCCATTTCTTGAGAGTTTTTGTCATGAATGGATGCTGAATTTGACAAATGAAATCATCATATTGTTTTTATCCTTCCTTTTGTTAATGTGGTATCACACATTGATTGATTTGTGAATATCATACCACTCTTGCATCCCTGGGATTAATCCCACTTGGTCGGATGAATGATCCTTTTGATCTACTTTTTAATTCAATTTGCTAATATTTTGTTGAGGATTTTGCATCTATGTTCATCAGCAATATTGCTGTATGATTTTCTTTTTTTTTTTTTGTAGTATCCTTAGTTTTGTTATTAGAGTGATGCTGACCTCATAGAATAAGCTTGGAAGTATTCCCTCCTCTTCTACTTTTTGGAATACTTTTTATTCCAGAAAGATAGATAGGTATTAGCTCTTCTTTAAATGTTTGGTAAAATTCAGTTCTGAAGCCATCTGGTCACTGACTTTTGTTTGTTGGTAGTTTTTTTATTACCATTTCAATTTCATTACTGGCAGTTGGTGTGTTCAGATTTTGTTTCTTCCTGGGTCAATTTTGGAAGGTGTAAAGTTCTAGAAATTTATCCATTTTTCTAGGCTGTCCAATTTATTGGCATAAAAATTTTTATAGAATTCTCTAAACATATTTTGTATTTTTCTGGTGTCAGTTGTAACTATTCCTTTTTTGTTTCTGATTTTATTTGTGTCCTCTTTCTTTTTTTCTTGATAAGTCCAGCTAGGGGTCTTTCTATTTTGCTTATGTTCTCAAAAAAACAGTTCCTTGTTTCAATGATTTCTATTGTTTTATTATTTTCTATTTTATTTATTTCTTCTCTGATCTTTGTTTGACCTTATAGTAACTTTGAGGTTCATTTGTTCTTTTTTCGTTTGTTTTGTTGTGAGTTTAGATTGGTTTTTGGGGGGATTGTTCTTGTTTCTTGAAGTAGGTTTGTATTGCTATGTACTTCCCTTTTAGAACAACTTTTGTGGCATCCCACATATTTTGAACTGTTGTATTTTGGTTTTTATTTGTCTCCATGTAGTGCTTGATTTTTTCTTTGATTTGTTCATTGATCCATTGACTATTTAGAAACATGTTGTTTAGCCTCCATGTGTCTGGGATTTTTTTGTTTTCTTCATGTAATTGATTTCTAATTTCATATCATTGTGATCTGAAAAGATGTTTGTTACAATTTCAATCTTTTAAAATTTACTTAGGTTCTTTTGTAGGCCCTAATATGTGATCTATTCCGGAGAATCTTCCATGTACATTTGAGAAAAATGTGTATCTTGCTGCTTTGTGGTGGAATGTTCTACATATATCTGTTAAGTCCATCTGTTCTAGTGTGTTTTCAGTACCTCTGTTTTATTTATTTATTTTGTGTCTGCTTGTTCTGTCCAATCATGTAACTGGTGTCTTAAAATTCCTTTGTATGACTGATTTGCAGCCTATTTCTCCTTTTCTGTTGATATTTGTTTTATATACTTAGGTGCTCCTATATTGGGTGCATAGATATTTATAATTGTTATATCCTCTTGTTGGACTGATCCCTTTATCATTATATAATGTCTTTTGTCTCTTCATACTCTCTTTTTTTTGTAATCAATTTTTTCTGATACAAGTACTGGTACTCCAGTTTTTCCTCCTTTTTATTTGTATGAATTATCTTTTTCCATTCCTTCACTTTTTCTATGTATATCTTAGGTCTGAAATGTGTCTTTTGTAGGCAGCACATAGATAGGTCTTGTTTCTTCATCCATTCTGCCACCATGTGTCTTTTGATTGCTGCATTCAGTCCATTTACATTTAAGATAGTTATTGAGAGGTATATACTTATTTGCCATTTTATTCATTGTTTTCTGGTTGTTTTTTCCATTTGGTTCTTTTTTATATGTTTCTATGTCCTGAAGTTCTCAGTGTTTGTATAGTCTTCTAACAGGTCTGATGAGCATCTTTATAACCATTACTTTGATTTCTTTGTGAGATAGATTGTTTAGCTATATTTCATTCAGATATTTCTCTGAAGTTTTGTCTTATTATGTCATTTGGAGCATAGCCCTTTGTTTCCTTATTTTGTTTCTGGGTTTGTTTCTATGAAAGTGTTGAAACAGCTACCTCTGGCAGACTAGGAGTGGCCTAGTGTATGAATGTGCCCTGTGTGGACTGTGTGTACCTTGCATCTTTGGCTCACTGGCTGGAACTGTATTGGGTATGGGTTGGGTCCATTTGCATTCCAGGCTGGGGCCACACTGGTGGGACACCTGGAGCTGAAGTGGGTGCATTGAAGGTAATCCCAGTGCACTCCTCAATGGAAGTTATGCTGGAAGAATGTGGAAAGCTGAAGTGGGCACATGCCACAGGGTCCCAGGTTCCTCCATGCAGTGGCTGCCCTTGTAGTTGGCTGTAGCTGAAGCAAGCTTGTTCTAATAGGTCTCAGGGTATCCCATACCAATCAGGATACACCCTTTTGGGATGGCTGGAAGGTCCTGGGGCCCTCTGTGTAAGATTCATGCTGGCATGATGGCTGGTGCTAAAGTGGGCACAGTCTGGGTAGTCTTAGGGCACTGTGCAGGACATGTCCTGGTAGGATGGGTATACCTGAAGCAGGCACAGTCTGCATGGTCCCTGGGCTTTCTGTACCTGGGTCAACCTAGTGAGATGGTAGAAGCTGAAGCAGGCTCAGGCTAGGTGGTCCTGGTTCACTCCATCCATCAAATGCCCTTATAGGGACTGCTGGAGCTGAAGCAAGCATGGGTTGGTGATTCTTTATCACTGGATTTACTTGATGAGATGCTTGGAACTCAGTCAACCATCTGAATGAGTGCAGGCCAGAGATGTCCCAATGTGTGTCATGTTTGTGCTGCCTTGGTGGGATGGCTGGAGCTGAAGATGAGTATGAGCAAGGGAACAGTTTCAGGGGACATATGGGACTGGTGTGGGTTGGGGTTCAAAGTTTGCTGAGATGGCAGGCCAGATAGAGCACCCACACTCTGCTCCCATTTGTGCTATCAAGGTGGAGGGAGAACATAAACAATGGCACTTGCCAACAGCTCTATCCCCAGAGAGAGTTCCAGCAGTTCCGTCACTGTTTGCTAAATACTCTAAGGTCAGAAAGTGTGTTTCTTTCACTTATATTCTAGTTGCTTTTTAAACCAGTTTTTTTCTGTGCCCCATGGTGTATGTATCTTCATGTGGGTCTCTCAGTGATATCTATCCCTACTGCAGTTTTTGTGCAGGAGTTGGAGTTCCTGTCATTACTGTGTCTCTATCTCTCCTGACAGTCTCTATGTGGTCTTTCTATACTTTTTTGTGCAGAAGCTGTCAAACTAGCCCTTGGTTCTTCTTTAGGAGGAATTGCTCTATATGTCAGGGTAGCTTTGGTGTTTCTTTGTCTGGAGAGATGGGAATTGTGGGTCTTCCTACACTGCCATCTTGGACCCTACCCTCTCATTAACAGTTTGGATTATGAATTGCTGTAGTGATTTCAAGAAGAAAATCTAGCAAATATTCACAAAACTGATGTCAGTAAAAATGATACCATAAGGAACTCTGAAATTTTTCTGTTTTGTAAAAACAAAGTGGAGAATGTCAGAAATTATCAGAATCAATTTTCAAATTAACAAAACCTTTGTAGCCAGGAAGGGTTTATTCAATAAATGCAGCTGAACCTCAGTAAGAACAGTGAGCTTTAAAAGTATTTTAATGTAGCTATCCCCATCCATATTTCTGCAGCTCCAAATAAACTTGAAAATCAACAACCTAAAGTTATAGTGAAAATCAGTAACCTGAAACTAACAGGAGATGTGGAATGACGTTGGAGATACTTCCAAGCCTAACTCTCAGGAAGTTTTCACTATTTTTCTTGTCTTCTGGTTCCTTGGAAGACATAATGTGCAACAACATCTTTATTTGACCTGACTTGGAGTTCACCTAATGCAAAATACATTTTCCCTGGGAGCATTTGTCAAAAACATGAGAGTTGTGCACATACTCAGGAATGACCTCCAGATACTCTGAGCCCTCACCTCTGGCTAGCTTTGAAGTTCTGTATAAGCACTAAGTGCAGGCTAAGGCAGAATTGTCAATTTTCTGGCTCAATTCTTAAGGCAAGCCCCATCATGCTGACAGAGGCTGCTGGCAAAGACTGGGAAACTTACTAGTTCCAGGCATTTCAAAATTCTCTCCAATAATTATCTGACCACTAAGCTAACTGAGCAAAAACTTCAGTGTCACACATGACAAAAAAAATACACACTTTACAGAATAAGTTCAGAAAAGTCAGTCAAAAAAGCTGATAGAGTGATGTAGCAAAATAGTAGAGTGGCAGCTCCAAACTTTTATCCCTGCACAGAAACATCAAAATAGAAGCATTAACTGTCAGAACCAACATTTTCCAATCTCTGAAAAATAATCAAAAGTTTATAGTAACCAACTGAATATTGAATCAAGAAAAAAATCAACTTAAGATGCAGAAAACTTGAAGCACTTTTACTTGCATTTGACTCACCTGGTCTGGTAGCACTCTTGAGGAAGTGGCCTGCATTTCCATTGTGACAACTTGGTCTCTGGGTCCAGTAGGAGCAGGACTGACCTTATTTTTCAGATTATTGTGTTTGCCTGTCTGATTGACAGGGTTCGTCTGAAAAACTAATCTGAAAATATTTGAAAAATTAATGGCTGAAACTTCCCAGACTTGAAAAAAGACATGTATCAACATATATGAGAATCTCTATAAACCCCAAGTAGGATGAACTGAAATTGATATACATTGAGACACATTATAGTTAAATTGTCAAAATCAACATAGAAAGAAACCAAAGCAACAAGAAGCAACTTGTAATATTCAAGCAGTCTTCAATATGATTAAATACTGATTTATCATCAGAAACGATGAAGGTCAGATTGAAGTATGATGACTCATTAAGAGTACTGAAAAAAAACCTTGTCAAGCAAGAATTTCCACATCAGAAAACTATCAAGAATGAAGGAAAATATATTCCCATTTTTTAAAAGAAGCTAAGAGAGTTTTTAGAGTTAGCAGACCTGCCCGACAAGAAATATTAAATAGAGCTTAAAATGCCAATAAAAGACACAATACAGTAACTCAAATAATTCATTGTTATTGTATAAAAATGCAAGTAACTTATGTATGTTGATATTGTTTCCTACAACTTTATTGAGAATGTGAAATCATTTGAGGGTATTCCCTCTTCAAGTTTTTGGAAGAGTTTCAGAAAGATTTGTGTTAATTCTTTAAATGTTTAGTGAAATTCACCAGTGAGTCCATCTATTGCTGCTATTTTTTTGGTGGGAATTTTTTATTACTGATTCAATCTCTTTATCAGTAATTGGTCCTTAAGATTTTCTATTTCTTCCTGATTCTGTCTTGGTAGGTTGTATGTTTCTTATGTTTTTTCCATTTCTTCTTTTGATCTTTTGTTTTTCTGTGGTATCAGTTATAATGTCTGCTTTTTCATTTATAATTTTGTTGATTTGGATCCACTCTCATTTTTTCCTTGGTAAGTCTAGGTAAAGGTTGGTCTATTTTGTTTATCTTTCCAAACAACCAGCTATTCTTTTGTTAATCTTTCTTATTCTCTATTTCATTTATTTCTGCTCTAAGCTTTATTATTTCCATCCTTCTTCTAATTTGGGGGTCACTATATTCTCCTTTTTCTAGGTCCTTGGCTTGAAGAGCAAGGTTATATATGTGAGAATTCTTGTTTCTTCATGTAGGCATTTATTGCTATGAACTTCTTTCGTAGAACTGCTTCTACTGTGTCTCATACATGTTGGTATATTTTGTTTCCATTTTGTTTCTCTCAAGATATTTTTTATTTTCCTTTTAATTTATTCTTTGATCCATGGTTACAACGGAGTGTTGTTTAATTTCCATGTATTTGTGTTTCAGTTTTCCTCCTGTTATTGATTTCTGTTTTCATGCCATTGTGGTTGGATTGGTTTACAATCTTGAATTTGCTAAGAATTGTTTTGCAGTCTGACATATTGTCTATTCTAGATAATGTTCCCTGTGTAATGAAGAATGTGTATTCTGTTGTCAGATAGAATGTTCTGCATATATCTCTTAGGTGAATTTGGTGTCTAATTTTATTCAAATCCTTAGATTTTAAAAAATCCAATTGTTCCTTTATTGGTTCACTGGATGAACTATCCATTGTTAGAAGTGGAATGTTAAATTCTTCAACTATTGTTGTATTGCTCTTTATTTCTCCTTTTAGCTGTGTTAGTTTTTGCTTTACATATTTAGTTTCTCTAATGTTGTGTGCATAGATATTTTAAATTGTTCTATCTTCTTAATGGATTGACACCTTTGTCGTTACATAATGATCATGTTTATCTCTTTTTACTGTTTTTAGTTGAAAGTCTCTTTTGTCTGATGTAAATATAGCTACCGCTCCCAATTTTAGATTAGCATTTCCTGAAATACCTTTTTCCACCCTTTCACACTTAGTCTGTATGTGTCTCTAAGTCTAAAGTGAATGTTTTATAGGCAGAATATCACTGGATCTTGTTTTTTTTTATACACTCAGCCATTCTTTGTCTTTTGATTGGAGAATTTCATTCATTTATATTTAAAGTAATTATTGATATGTAAGGACTTAATATTGCCATTTTGTTCATTGTTTTCTGGCTGTTTTGTAGATCCATGGTCCTTACTTCATATCCTACTGTCTTTGTGCTTTGATGTCTTTTCATATCCATATGCTTTGGCTTCTTTTTCATGTTCTCTTGTGGAAATACTACAGGTTTTTCCTTTATGGTTACCTTGAACCTTATGTAAATTATCTTAAAAATATTACACCTTATTGTAAACTGATAAAAACTGAACTTTAATAGCATTACTAGACTTTATACTTTTATTTTTCCTCCCCATCTCACATTTTGTTATTAATTTCACAGTAACATATTTTTAATACTGTGTATCCAAGAACAGATTACTGTAGATATGGTTATTTTTACAATGTTTGCTTAACTTTTAAAGAAGTGTTGTGATAATATATCACCATTATATATTACAGAATTTAACTTTGAGGATATATTTATCAGTATCAGTGAGTTTTATGGTACCTTCTTATGTTTTTCTGTTCCTTAATGTCCTTTTACTTTCACTCAAAGAATTCCCTTTAGCACTTCTTGTAAGCCATGTCTAGTGGTGATGAATTCCTTAAGTTTTTGTTTGGAAAAGTCTTTAACCTTCCTTCATTTCTAATGGACAGTTTCTTGAAAATAGAGTTGTTGGTTGACAGGTTTTTTTCTTTCAGTGTTTTGAATAAAACATCCCATTATTCCCTGGCCTGAAAAATTCCTCTTAAGAAATCTGCTGAAAGCCTTATGGGGATTTCTTTGCATGCAATGTCACTCTTTTCTTGTGCTGCTTTAAATTTTTTGTCTTTGAATTTTGAAAACTTAATTATAATGTCTCTAGTAGTCATATCCGGGTACATCCTATTTCGATCCTTTGGACCTCATGGATCTGAATATCCCTTTCTCTCACCAGGTTGGGAAATTTTCATCCGTTTTTCTTTAAATATGCTGTATAATTTTTCTTTCTCTTCTCTTTATGTAATTCCCACAGTACAGATACTGTTCATTTTGTTTGTGTCCCATATGTCCTCTAGGCGTTCTTCACTCTTTTTCATTTTTTTCTTTTTGCTCCTCTAGGTAATTTCACATGTCCTGGCTTGTAGGTCACTGATTCTGCTGCATGGTTGAGTCTGCTTTGGAAGCTCTCTATTGAATACTACAATTCAGTCACTGTGTATTTTTCAGCTCTAGGATTTGTTTGCTTTTTGTTTGGTGGTTTCTATTTGTCAAAATTCTCATCTTATTTATACATGGTTTTCCTAATTTTATTTAGTTGTCTGTGTGTTTTTATAGTTCACTAAACTTCTTTAAGAGAATTATTCTGAGTTCTTTGACAGTTCATATTTATCTACTCTTCAGCGTCAGTTATTTGAGCTTTCTTAGTTTCTATTAGTGGTGCCATGTTTACCTGATTTTTCATGTACTTTGATTCCTTCCATTGGTGTCTGCACATGAGTCAGTCTTCTTCCCTCCAGCTTTATATGTATACTCTGGCAGACATTTCTTCACCAGTCAGCTCAGTTTCGGTTTCAGGAAATGGCCACTGGTAATGTCTTTGGGAAGGTGGGACTTGCTATCAGGGTATATTTTTGGATATGACCACTGCCTGAGCTCTGAAATCAGGTGTGCCACTGGTGGAGAACAGTTGGATATCAGTGGTGACTTGGTTCCCTGCCTAAATGAGTCTTTCTGATGAGTGATGAGCACTCTCTGTGGTTGTATGATCTCTCTTGTCAGGCTTTCTAGATGGTCAGGACTGGGTACTACAATCAGTGGTGGGTAGGCTATGAATTAGCTACCTTGCTCTGTCAGGGAAGCAGATCAGACCTGAGGTCTGAATGTCTTATTGTTTAGGGACCTCTAACACATAAGACTGTGCACTAAATTCCATGCCCAGACAGGGCTCTGGTTTTTCTCTGCAAATGGGAAAAGCCACAGCCTGTGTTTACTGGTCAGACACTACTGTAAGCTGGGCTATTGGATGATCTATGTAGCTTCCAGCATGCCTTGTTTAGTTTCGCTGGTTGGATGGGATAAAGTATTTAGAAATGGGCAGTGCTATGTTTTCCTTCCTGGGCAGAAAGGGAGAAGGGCTCCAAGGATGAGAACACTCTTTGTTTGAAGTCTTGACTCAAGGTGACCCAAGCCCCAAGTTCCTTGGCTGAAAAGACCCCTGGCTCTGCTCGGCAGATAATCAGCTCTGCCCACCAGACTCTTTTCTCAAGTGTTGTTTGGGTATACATAGCTTTCCTAGTGATCCAGTCGGCATTTTAGTCACAGAAGCCAGGAGCTACACTGAGCAGTAGGTGGGAATATGAATTAGCTCATTTGCCTGAGCAAAGCATGAAACCAGCTCCAAGAACCTCCCCACCCAAGTGTTCTTTGTATGGCTTTCTGGTAAGAAGGGGCTGGGAGATAAACTCAGAAATGAGTGGAGTTAGTAATTACATCCCTTCTGGGTGCAATGGTGAACCAGCCCCAAGCCTCTTTGTGGTCTTGACTCAAGTCAACCTGCATGTACCCCAGGTTCCCTGGCTTAACAATGCCACTGGCTTTGCTCTCTGGATGATTATCTCTGCCTGCTGTACCCACCATTTGAGTGCTACTGGGCTTCACAGCTTTTAGGTGTTTCAATCAGACTTTCTGTTTGGGCAGTGCTGGGAGCTACATTCAGCATTAGATTGTATTATGACTTAACTCCCCTGCCTGGGGAAGAGAGGCATAGAACAAGTTTCAGGGCTGGTGGCAAGGTTCTTTATTTGAGGATCCATATCAGGCAGACTTCTGCCCAACTGAATTCCTTCATCAGATAAGCAAAGCCACTTTTGGGGACTACAACTTGGACACTGCAAGTAGGCACTTGGTTTGTCAAGATTGGAGCACTGATTTTTGAACACACCACCCCCTTTCTTCATCACAGTCATGTTTCCAGTAGTCAGACCCTGTAGCCTTCCCCACATTTCCTCCAGTGATATAAGAGTGATGTCTCCCAAGATGCAATCCACAGTACTGGGGGAGCTAGATATCCACCCTGGGCTATTTTCTC